GCCGCGATACGTCATCTTTGCTCTGCAGACTAATAGAAAAAATAACATAGCAACACATAAAACTTACCTCGACAATTGTAAATTAACCAACGTGAAATTCTATCTGAACTCTGAATTTTTTCCATACGATGATCTGAATCTGGACTTCGACAAACGCAGAACCGCTATTTTGTACGATATGATTGTACGTTTCCGTACATCTTACTATTAAATTTTAAAAGAAAGTAGTGAAACGTTATTCAAGACAGATTCTTTTAGGAATCTCTTTCCTCTAGTAATCATTGACTGCTCGCGACAAAACGAGTCCGTCAAGAGTGGCACCGTGAATGTGCGATTAGAATTTGAATTCAAAGAAAATGTATCAGCGAATACTACCGCCTATTGTCTTATCATACATGACCGCGTGATCGAATACAGTCCATTATCCAAAGTAGTACGCAAGATTACGTAAATTATCGCCAAAAGAAAAAATAACCTCTCCCCTCTTTTCAATATAACGAATAAAAAGCCAAAATTTTTGCACTCGAGCACAATCTCTAAAAGTCATTCACCATGACTATAACAACGTTCGTGGATCTGCAAGGATTTATCGTTGGAAAGAAATATATCGTGAAGGAAGTGGCTGTGTTGAGAAAAGGAGCTATTCTCTCTCATTATATTTTTACATGTCCCATGTCATGGAATTTCTTGACAAAATCCGAAAAGTATTGTGCTTCCTGGCTGAGTGCTTATCACCATGGATTGCAATGGGAAGATGGGATGATACCGTACAACATAGTGAAACGCCTGATTACGATAATTGGTGCGGAAGAGAATGATGATAATAAGTCTCTTGTATACGTTAAAGGAAGTGAAAAACGCCAATGGCTTGCTGATATACTCGATAGCGACGACTTGACCATTAAGACCCTCGATGCTGATTACGAAGATATAGATTCTTTACGAAATCTGAATATTACTAATACCGTGCGATGTGGAAATCATGTTAAGAATTGTGCGTTACAGAATGTATTTAAAATATACAATTGGTTGCAACGCCAAAAAAGAAATGCATCAAGTTTAAAATAAAATACAAGATTTTTTAAATATATAATATATATTTAAATTTCTTTCTCTTCCCTTTCCTTGTAGTTAAGAATTAGTAAATAATGTTTAGTAGTAGTAGTAAGTATGATTCAATGAGTATTAAACTAGATGATAAGAAAACGCATTTTTAATTACATTAATAAAAAATATTATAATTGCTAAGTCATGTTTCATAAATATTTATTTAATAAAATCGTGTGCGAAAGAAGAAAAGAGAACGTAAGAGAGAATACAACGGGAGGAAGAGAGAGCG